AATTGGATTTTCTTTTCTCCTTTTAATTTCTGAAGCAAATTGCAACGCAGAAGCAGAATACATTTCAGTTAAGTGACTAACTTTATGTTTTTTGGTTTTAGTAGAGTAGTCATCAAAGTTTGCCTTAATTGGCCTTCCAATAGGTATTGGTGTTATATTTATATCTTCAGGAACATGGCTTTGCAGCCATTTTTCATTCTTTTTTTCAAATCGAGCCATGTTGCTATCTGACTTGCGCCACCTATCTCTTAGATGCGCTAGTATAGTTTCTAATTGCTTCTTGTTGCAATCCAAATTCATTGCTTCAATAAGTGTTCCCTCAATACCACAGTCATATATTTGTAGATTATTACGCTTGTGCACTAAGAATGCATAGATATCAAAATATTTCATTTTCATCCTACAAATACAAAAAATATATTATTCATGAGACATTTGGACAACCAAACATGAAACAAGCTCCACATATTTACATGTTCATTTTAATGTGATAAAAAAGATGTTTTGCTGAGAAATTACAATGATTGGAGCCTGGGAACACAAAAAAAACCAGAATGTTGGCCCCCCTGTCCTAAACATGCAACTCATAAAAATTATGTATAGAGACGCAGTCGACATCCGTCGACAATAGGTAAAATATATATCGATTATGTACATATTAGACAAGATATTTCAAGTCTCAAATTTCTGGAGGACCTTGGAGCGCAAAAGTATTTTATTATTTAAGTGAAGTTTTCACTAAGAAAAGTACTTTATATACGCGATCATTAGAAATCAATTTATTTGATATAAATTACGTGCAAAATAACTTTGCAATAAACCATTTGATAGATAATACTTAGTTTTATTAAATTATGCAATAAAAAAATGACGCTCTAAATATTAATAATTTTTTTTTGCTTATTAGTAACACGAAAAATATTATTAAATAAATAAAAAAATTAAAAAAATTAAAAAATACCTTTTTTAAAAACAGTTAAAAATGCAAACGACATGATAGTTATGCAGAAATATATACATTTTATAAAAGCCAGATGTTTAAGCTATAAAATGGTATATAATAATGTCATTTTTGAGAATGTTTTTTAAATACTTTTTTCCACCATCTGGCCCACTGTGATATCTTGTAAAACAAATTCCATATTGAAAATATTTGTTTCACGTGTTCACAATAAAAATATTTATCTTTGAAGAAAAGATAATTTTTTAGCTTTAACGGTTGCAAGTTCAACAGACAAAGGACTGACGCTTCTGACCTGCAACATAGCTCACGAAATGAACAGCTGCACAGCTAGCATTAAGTAGTCCTAACATCCAAACAACCTGAAAGTCAAAAAATACAGTGTCAAAACTTTTTGTTTTTCCTTTTTGACCAGCTTTTTGAGATCTGTCCCATTGTGGGGTGGGTTTGTTGTGGGAGGGGACACAAATGGCTCCTTTCCCCTAAATAATTTTGAGGATCTGTTTATTTTATTTTAGCTATGAGTATTTTTAATTTTAGGTTATTTTAAATTAAGTTTCGATAGAGTATCCCTAATTTTAAGCAATATTTTGGTGTTGGAGCCAAACGTCCTCCTTCTCTGTGAAAAAAATCATATAAGCACCTATGCTACAAATCATATAAGCACCTACGCTACAAATCATATAAGCACCTATGCTACAAAGTTAAGTTTCTCTGAAACTATAGAATATACTAAAGATCAAAAAATCATATAAGCACCTATGCTACAAATCATATAAATCATATGCTACAAAGTTAAATTTCTCTGAAACTATAGAATATACTAAAGATCAAAAAATCATATAAGCACCTATGCTACAAAGTTAAATTTCTCTGAAACTATAGAATATACTAAAGATCAAAATTATGTGAAGTTTTGAATATACTTTACTATATGAATTTTTTAAAACAATAATTTTTGAAAATAATTTTAAATTGAAAATTATTTTCTCAGTAGCTGCACAAAAAACTTGTTTTTTGTGCAGCTATTGGGAAAATAACTTTTGCCACCCTATTTTTATATAACCCTCACTGTGCATTGCTTGGTCATCTTTAATTTAAACATGATTTAAAAAAAAAATTATAATATAGAAGACAGATAAAGTTTAAAAATGTCAAAAAAAATATTTTTTTAAATGATAGATTGGCTGTCCAAGCCAAAACCTTCAGCTGATGTAGCAGTTTTATACCTATCTAAATCAGTCAATATATGTAGACTCGATGTAGCAGTTTTATACCTATCTAAGTCAGTCCATATATGTAAGCTTCACTAATCCCTAGATAAATCAGTTGATAAAGCAATAATTTGTTTTATTGACTGATTAAAAAAAAGTTAAATAATAAGAACAGTACAAAATATAAAAATTAAAGCATTCTGAATTGAAAAAAACATTTTAGTCTATTAAGTTTTTATAAAGCAATAAAATTTAATTAATCAACTTAATTATTTTAATGGTTTTTAGATAATGTATACTTGATTTTGTCAACTTTAAGTGCAAAGAGTTGTTAAGAGCCATTTTTTACTATAAACAGTATACATAAAAGTCAAATATATATAGATATTAAACTTAAACCTTTGTTTGTCACACAAAAAAAGCGCTGGTAAAGTAATTAACTTGAGTTTTTTTTCTTTGCAACAAGTAATATTTTTTGTTTGTTAATAAATTTTTAAAAGTAAAAAATCATTATTTGAAAAGTTGCAGTTTTAAGAAACAATGAATAAAAATATTAAGATATTTTCATTCATTTATACAAATGTCAAGAAAAGAAAGAAATTATTTTATGTTAAATAATAATTAAAAATGTAATATTAAATTTAATTATATAATATAAAAAAATTGAAACAAAATAGGCATTCCACAAAATGTACTTTAACAAAATAACACTTCTAGTTTATTTGTTTTTCTTAATTAGTAAATTAAATTTGTTTTCTATGGTAATTTATTTTATTGCGGTAGTTTAAAAAAAGTTAATGTCCTTAAATAAGTAAAAATATGAAGATAAATTTATGACATTTTAATCATGAAGAGCTAATGAGCTAAACTGTTTTTTATTTAAAACAAGACCACATATATATATATATATATATATATATATATATATATATATATATATATATATATATATATATATATATATATATATATATATATATATATATATATATATATATATATCAACTCTCGGAATTAGGGTCAGCATTCAGCAATGCCAACCTAACTGCTGACCTGAAAGTGTTTGAGGTTGGCAAAAAATTGCCAACCTTATTTCTATGTTTTATGGTCAGACCTTTGTATCAAATATTTTTTGTCGACCTGATGCCGACCTCAAAAAGATTGAGTTTGGCAAATTATTGCCGACCTCATTTTTTCTAACTCCGAGGGTTGATATATATATATATATATATATATATATATATATATATATATATATATATATATATATATATATATATATATATATATATATACACACACACACACACACACACCTATTGTAAAGGCATTAAATATTTGTGGTCAAAAACAACTTGTCTATGGTTTTTATACTGACAAAATAAGGGTTAACATATAAAAACGCATTCAAATGAGGAAATTAATTAAATTAAATGTTTTTTTTTAAAAACCACAAAAAATTTGTAGCATAAGTGTATATAAATTTAATAAATTTTTTTGACTTTGTAGCATTAGTCGCTTATATTTCCAAATCCTGAATTTTGTTAGGCTACCTTTTTTTTTTGGTACTGCCAATATTGGTAACCACTGCTTTATAGCTACTATGACTTATTACTTTATAAATAATACTATTATTAGTATATCTAAACTATTAAAATAGTTTAGTTATTGTTTTTAATAATACAAATAGAAAAACAAAAGTTGGCAAAGCACAAAACATTAATTACATATTCTTCATAAAATACTGACAAACAAAAATGTAGAACACCTATTACTAACCAAAACAAAACATGTAGTAAAAATCAATTGCAAAATAAAACAAACTTAAAATTGCATATAGTGTACAAAAGTAAAAACATTAATTTTTATGTTTAAAATGGAATATGTGTAATGGTAGGTAAAAAACTTTTCAGAATCATGGTGTTTCATAGCGGCTCTGCAACAATAATTTATCCCGTCAGATAATTCCCACTTGTTCTTTACTCGTGATTTATGCCTGTTTCTTAATGCAGTAAATAGGAATTCATTACAAATAAGCTCATACTCAAAAATCCTGAGTATCTGTTTCACTTTCAAACATTTTGTTAATACTAATAAAATGGCTACTACTTAATACTTATATACTTAAATACTCTATACTTAAAAATAATTTAGTTTTACTGGCATCTATAGCTTAAGTGTTTGTCTTTATCTGTTTTTTTATTCACCATTTTTTAAAGACCTAATAAAATCTTTTAAACTTAAACCACAGCCTCTTTCTTAATTCTTATTTATTAAATAAAGTTTTCTAAATATATATATAATAATTATATGTATTAATATATATAGATTTTATTTAGATTCTTGGTTTGTGGCTATCTATAAAAAATATATTAGTATAATTTATAAATTTTATTATTGAACTTAAAATATAAAATTGTCTAAAATTGGAAGGAGGTTTATTATAGATTTCTAAAAAATATTCTAAGTTATTGCTAATATTTTTTATGAAGTTTTTTAAAATGCCATATTTTTTTTTTTTATAAAAACTTTAACATTGTTTAAAACTTTTTTTTAAATCTCTTATCTTTTTTTATGAATATTGTTATCTTTAATATTGTTTATGAAACTTTCAACTTGTATTAAGTTAAGTGTAAAAATATTTTTTATAGTTAAGGTTTTGTAAATTCCACCAGAAGCAAGAGTTATAATGGTGTTGTTCAGTTTCTTTTATATATGTTAAATATGGGTTAATAGGGGTATTAAAAAATTATCTTTCTTGGAGTTTTTTAGTCTAAACTGTTGTTTAAAAAGTTTTTTTTTTCAAAACTTTTTTTTTATTCAAGTTGGTTCGAATCGCTAAAGTACTAGGGACTGATGATTTATTTGAATATCTTGCTAAATATGAAATTGAATTAGATCAGCGATTTAATGATATATTGGGAAGGTAATTTTTACTTTCTAAATTTAAAATTTATTTTTTTATATTTTTATTATAACCATAATAAACTAAATAGTTATCAAATATTTTTGCTTTTGTTTTAGTTAGTTTTTATACTCTAAATATATTTAGACATTCAAAGAAACGATGGGATCGTTTTGTTACACATGAAAATAGTCACTTACTGAGCACTGAATCGTTTGATTTATTAGACAAACTTCTGCGCTATGATCACAATGTAAGTCCAATAATTTGTTAATAGTTACTTTTGATGCATCCCTTTATCACACTTAAGTTATATTTTTGCATTTAAATTTTGTGATTTAAAAAAAAATATGATCTCTATGTGAAATTTTATATATTAAAGACATATAGTATAATATAGTATGTGACATTTTATATATTATATGTTGACATGTATTTTTAGGGTATAATTAAGTTTGCTGCTGAAAATTCAGCCTCTTTAAGTGATTGCTTTTGTGGCTTAAAGTTAATGTGCAAATACTTTATTTTTAATTTTAACCCCTGTAAATTCTATACTGGCATAACACTCTAGATTTTATATTGTTTATCAGTTGAAATATTCAAAATACAAGTTGAAGAGAGTTAGGTTGATGTAAAAATTGGGTCCTTCTACAAGAACATCTTTTTAAAATACTGTTTTATTTTGATGTAGCTTTATTTGTTTTATCTATTATTGTTGTTTTTTAATAAATATATTTATTTATAGTTTTTATTTTTCAAAGTTTAATAGATTAAGTGCATCAATTCGTACATACATTAACTGATATAAAAATAAAAATTCCTCATAATTAATAAAATAATTCCACATTTTCAGCCTCGAAAGCAATTTTTACAGCAGCTGATTTTTCAGCTGCAGAAGACTGAAGCGTAAAGTATCAAAGAAAATTAAATTTATGTGTGTGCATATATATATATATATATATATTTATTTTACTTTGATTTTTACTTCATTTTAAATGCGGTAGTGGTGTAGTGGTAAGAGCGCTCGCTTTGTAAGCGAGAGGTTCTGAGTTCGACTCCCACCACGTCCCTGGAAGTACCGCGCTCAACTTAATTTCTCCGCGCAGCGGTCTTGCTTGTCAATGTTCGTGTTTCGGAGTTAAAGAGTTGAGAGAGGGTTGTACCACAATTTACAAAAAAAAAAAAAAAAAAAAAAAAAACGAGTAGCCTCCTCGACTGTAGTGGCCCCCTCGGACCTTGAGGAGGTGAATAATTAAAAAAAAAAAAAAAAAAAAAAAAAAAAAAAAAAAAAAAAAAAAGTTTGATTTGTTTTATTTTAGATTATAAGTTAAAACCATTTAATTTATTAATTTTTAATTTATTATTTACTTTTTTTTTTTTTTATATTTCATTGTTCATGCAGTATCTTAAAACAAATATAAAGACCTAAAAATTAAAATTTTGAAAATTATTTTTTTTAAACTATGCATTTTTTAATACTTTGTTTTAGGAAAGACTAACAGCTCGTGAAGCTATGGAACATCCTTATTTTTGTAAGTTTTATTTTTTTTATAGTTTTATTATTATTTTTATTATATATATATACTGTGGCGGATTAAGACTTCTTGGGGCCCAGGGCAGTTTTATTTTTGCAGGCCTTTTTATATGCCAGAGCCTAAAAATGACTTAAAAAAAAAAAAGGTCTTCTAAAATTTTTGGCGGCCCCGAAATTTGCGGGGCCTGTGGCTATAGACCCTCTAGCCCCCCCCCCCCTGATCCAGCACTGTGTAAATATATATATATATATATATATATATATATATATATATATATATATTTATATATATATCAGATATCAAAAACATTATTTAATCTATTGATTTAAATACAAAACAATACAACAATCATGAGTCGTGACAACTTAAACTACATTATCAACAAAGAACATTTCTTATCTTTTATCGTTGCTTGTTTTTATATTTGTTTTTATTAAAAAAAACAAAAACAAAAAAAACAAGTTTATAAAAATCCGAATATATGAAGAATAAATATTTCACACTGCAAAACTCCAAGAACTAGCTAAAACTAATTTAAATAAATTTTTTCTTAAATTTTTTTTTTTTAACTTTTTATAACATTTTGAACTTACAACATTTCATAACTGAAACCTTTTGATCAATTTTCAAATAAAAGATTTTAGACATTTTTTTATATCCAGCCAGTAATTGCATTTAAGCAACAACACTGCCAAATCCAAAAAGAATGAATAGACTTTAATAGTAACTACCTTAGAGAAAACTGTAGTAAATTCGAAAAATCCCTGAGAAAATTATGCCAAAATCCAATTAACCAACAAAAAAATAGAATTATTTAAATGCAGGTTATTTCTTGCATAAATAAAAATGTTTACAAAATCTAATGGATGACAAAAAGTCATATAACTTGCAACAGTGAGAGTTTAGTTTTCTTTTTTTAGAATGTTTATCTGCAACAAAAAAAAAACTTAATATTAAAACAAATAAATAACAATGGCAACCAACAGATTCAATTAGAACACAATATAAAATTTCAACTTTTTTTTTTCTAAAGCTGGGGAATGATTGTGTTTTCTTGTTTTTCAGTTTGCTTTTATGGCCGAGACAATTTTTTTTATTTGAATATTTTGCTTATTACTATATATTATTATTATTAATATTATTTTGCACATTTCATTATATGATAAGGTAATTAGGCACTGATTATATGTATATGTTTTATACTGATTATATGTATGTATTTATTTTTTATATCAATATATCAAATAGTTCTATTACGTTGACTATTTATATATAATTGTAAACAATATTTTATGTTCAGAATGTCCCTAATTTTCTATATCGTGATGTGCAAAATAATTAAAAAAATACTCTCCTGAGCTCAAAGCAAACATTGGAAGGTATAATAACTTTTAATGCTTACGGAAATTAGAAGTAATACTTGCTTGAAAAACTCAGAAAGTATGAAAAGCACAATATTTTTTAACAGCTAATTACACTGTTTAACTATGTTATTGGCTCTTTATGTTAAGATAAAAAAAGTAGTTCTACTGATTATTAAAAGACCTAAAAAAGATAAAATTTAAGTTAATAGTATATTTGATGAAATAAATTTATTTGAAAAAAATGTTTTATATACTTATTGAAGTTTATTAACTGCTTTAATTTTGCTATATATTTCTTATAAATTTAATTTATATATTCTTGTTTAGATCCTATAGTTCGTCAGGAACCAATTAAATTAGGAGGTGAATCTTTTCAGTCAGCACAGATACCATCTACGATTACGAACTAAAATATGAAAGTTAATATCAAAGTAATATCTGAATAAACTTGCTGTTCATTCCAACTACTTGCTGATGATTTTTTTGTGTCATAGCTACGTATCAATATATTTGTTGACGCTGTTTATAATTCTGACGTCATAAATATATAGTTTTTTTAGTTTGTTTTTTTGTAAAGTAAACCTGCTTCATTGTTTTATCTTTCTTTTATTTAAGCCGTAAAGAAATTATTTAAAGTTTAAAAAGAACATTTTGGGCTTACCATGCCAATAAATTATTACAAGTGGGGTTTAAAATGAGCTATATATATATATATATATATATATATATATATATATATATATATATATATATATATATATATATATATATATATATATATTTAAACAGTTTTAAAATGTATTCTAAAAAATAGAGCGCTCAATGTTCTTAAAAGAACAGAGCAATTATAAAATAGTACAAAATCACTTAACAAAATTCATTAACAAAAATTTTGTTAAGTGATTTTTGTGAAGTTAAGTCTACTAATATATTTATTTATATATATATATATATATATATATATATATATATATATATATATATATATATATATATATATATATATATATATATATATATATATATATTTATATCTTGCCTTAGGCGGAAGCTAATGAATGTAAGGTAGAGCGGGGCATATAGAGACATTGGGGCATAACGGGACTGTTATGTCTGAAGCCTTTTATCTCAGCTAAAAAAAAAATTTTTTCGAAATTTTTTTTAATAAAACATTTCAAATTATTGTGCTTCATTATCGTAAAAAAAAACTATTTTTAAAATAAAGGAACTCCATTAAAAGTACCAAAATGCATCAGTAAGTTTGCGAAAAATAAAACTTGCGTATTTTCTTACGATTCAACGACTAAAGATTTATCTTGAACTATTGATAATTTGCTTTATTTATAAAAAGTTTATATTTTTCACACAGTGTTTTTTATCCTCTTTTAGAATATGGTTTTTAAAAAATATCTGGAATAAAACTTTTTAAATAGTTTTAATTTCAGTAAAATGACTTTTATGGGGCATATCGGTTATTTATATAATTGACTATATTACTACCATTTTGTTTACTGTTAAAAGATTTGAATTTTAATCTAAAATATTATTTTTATTATTTAGAAAAGCAATATTAGTAATAAGTTCAAAGAAAATGTTATTTGTATAACTTAAGCTCACCCCCTTCAAAAAATTTTTGATAACTACCAAGCGCATATGCTTTTTAGGGTATTCATTGGAAGGAATATGATAATAGTGATTAAAAAAAATATGTTTCCATTTTAAAATAATGACAGCTGTTGCAATGGTTACTAATTCAAAATGGCAAAAACCATAAATTCTTGAAATTTGGAAAGATAATTCCCTTGGATTAGTAAAATATTTTTAAATGAAACTTTCTAACATTGTTTATTAGCATTAGATGCATGCAATAAACCAAAAAAAATCAAAATATTATTTTGGGAAAGATATCTATTTAAGTTTTTAAAAAATTAATAAAATTTTTCTATATTTTAAAGATAAAAACGAACTTTAAACAATCTAATTATAGACAATACAAAAAATTTAAAGCAAATTTTTGGTTTATTGCATAAAACAATCTATTTTGAGTTGTGTGTAAAAATTTTAGCTTAAAAGCTATAATAGAACAAGAATTTTCGCATTTCCAAATTCTATTAAACTCGGAAAAAATACAAATTGAGAAAATAAGCAAAACGTAAAACATTTTGTAAAAAGAGCTATAGTGAGATGTTATTTTTTAGAGCTTTTTAATTCTAAGCTTAATAAATGTAATTTAAAGGGTGTTTTGATAATGGAAAATTATGCAACATCTACACTATCTATAATTTTATATTTATAAACTATACTACACGAAAAAAAATTAAAATTTAAAAAATCGCTGTGTAACTAAAAATAAGGGAGTACAATATCCAGAATAAAAAAACTAATTATAATAAAGATACTTTCTTTAAAATTAACTTTAAAATAATCCTGCTTTATAGGTTTTTCCTTTATTTTGCTTTTTCTTGTCATCTTTTTGTTTTTTCTGTCCTCTAATTTGACGTCGACGAAGAACATTTTTTAATTCACTGTTTTATTGAATTTTTTATCCTTTTGTTATTTATTCTGTGACATCCAAGATTGGTATAGAATCCTGGAACCATATTTAGTTTTTGATACAAATTAATCACAGCTTTATCTCCAATATTAAAGTTAGATACAGCATCATAGATACCCAAAGAAAGTTGGTGTAAACCTACAAATATTGATTTGGGTAAACGTTCCCAAACCATACTATTAAATGACTTGTTTTAATTTTGTGTTTTTTCATGTAAGCACTTGTCAAGAAGTGAATCAAATGTTAACTCATAACTTTTCTAACTCGTAATGCAATATTTGTAGGCAAGCCTGGACCATGCTATCAACTTAATTATTCGCCACAGCTCTTTAATATCCGCACCAACTATTTTTTTAGTCGGACAATTTACATGAAATTTATTAATTTTATGAGATGTCACATGGCAAAAATCACTTATAATTCCTTTTTTCATAGCTTGTTTATCACTAACATGCAACCTGATAGCCATTCCGTAGTAGTTCTGAAGCTTGTCAATAATTGAAACTGTTAGTTTTCCTTTTCCACCTAATCCTTTTGTTTCCTTTTTCAGTTTTCGTAAATGGGTTCCTACTCTCTTTTGCACATGCCCTATACATTCTCTCTTACAACTTTTATACCACCGTATATGTTTTCCACTGAAATAAAACTTTTGGAATCGTCATCTTCATATAATTATGTATACCTCAATTGCGATTTTGTGGATCTCGCAAAAATAATTTTTGTGCCTTCTGTTTCCATATTTTGTGCTAATCCAGTAAAATTTGCTGAACAATTGTGATTAATTTCCAAATTAGTTTTCTCTAATGAGTCTGTCATCTTATAAATTTTCTCAAATTTTTTACAATACCGACTCATCGGAACAACATCCAAAACTTTGCCTGTGTCCATTGAAATGCAACTAACAGTACCATTTAGCAATGAAAATCCTCGCCTTTGCCAGGTGCCATCGCATGATACTATTAAAAGCTGAGGAATAGCATGGCTTGACAGCATAGTATAAGATCTTGTTTTTGGTAATGATGCTGAAGTAAATGGAACAAGATTTAACAGCTCAGATTGCATTAACACAGATTGTTTTTTGTTTGTGTGTTGGTTTCCTTTAAACTTCCTTTTCTTTTTTTTTTAAACTTGCAAAGTTTACCTTTTTGGTTTTATTATTTATTATTCTTCTTTTATCTGCAACATTATTTTTTTCCATTATCAACTCAATAATCAAGCTCTCCTTTTTTATCAATAACTGTTTTTAAACTTATCCACACAACTAAAAATATAAATAAATTATTTATAAATAAACACAATAATCACTAAATAATCTACTGAACATAATTTAACTTATAATAAAAAGTAAGTCACACATGTGAAGTGTATGTTATTTGGTTGTGTAGCATTGTTCTTAACATGCTCAAAAAGAGCTATTCCAAACCTACATGGAACTACTTTGAAAAGTTAACACTTCGCAGACTTGAATTAATCATATAAGATTAATTTTTTATGAAATTGTAGATAGATGGAAAAATAAAATAAAATTGCTATGGGCGTTGTTAAGGAAATTATTTTATACTATGTTCAAATAAAAAAGAAATAAACATACTTATGTTGCTTTTTTTGTTATTTTTAAATCAGATTTCTCATTAAATTTTATACTTAAAAAACGAAAAACCCAAAATTTCAATTCTTTTTTTTTGTGCTATTTTGAAGGGGGCGAGCCCCCTTAACTTCGATTATTAGTAGTGTTTAATGTAAACAACGATGGTAAAAAACTATATAAGAAAAATTAATCATCCAAAATGAATTGAAATGCAGTTTTAACTGTGAATAAAAAGAAACTTAGAATTCGACAAGCTGCTGATATATGTGGTATATTTAAATTTGCTCTACATTGGCATATTACTAATAAGTCAACTCATCGATATTGTTACCTAATAGTTGCAAGATATTTTTTGTGTGATATATATAATCCATAATATTTTTTATTTAATTTTAAATTTGGTAATAGTTACTAATTCAATAATATATACTAGTTTTGCCCTACTTAAATTTTAGAACAATTTCTTTGTATGTTCAAAATTCGTCAATAATGTAATGTAATTGCATATTTATATTTAGATGGATCTAGTAATAATATTTTTTGATGAATCTAGTAATGATATTTTTAGTAATGTATAGAAGTAGTAATGATATTTCTTGTATAAGTGTATGTATAATTGTATTTCTTGTATATATATATATGTGTAGTAATGATATTTTTTGTATATGTGTAGTAATTTCGCTAAATATAAAATAAGTGAAAAAGCATCTTTAAGACATGAAAATTTTTGAAATTTTGTTTATTTTTAAAACCAAAATTGAAAATATAATGGATCTTGATAAACCAAAAATGGAAAATTAAAAATACAATAGGTCTTGGTAAATCAAATAATGAAAATATAATGGATCTTGATAAACCAAAATAAATAACGCATGATCCTGTCATAAAATCTCTGGAGCAATTTTTAAATTTTTACGTTAGAGGTATTAATGCAAAAGCTTGGTATAGTTAGAAGAAACGCACTAAATTCACTCCTAAGCGTTTCAAAACATTGTAAAAATTAAATTCATCCTTTATTATATATCAACAAACATACTACAAAACGAGTTAGTTTATTTATTTGCCTGTTACAAAATAAAATAAGAATTAATATTGCTGATTCACAGTTGAAAATCCAAACAGCTCCACACTCTTTTTCTGTGTCAAACAGCTCCACACTTTTTCTGTGTCAAAGTTTTGTGCAATAGTCATGGACTAAATCTAAATATAATGTAATGCAAAAAAAATTATAGTTTTTGTTTAAAAAAAATTCCCAAAAAAAATTTTCAAGTTTTAAAATGTGCAATTGAGTGCTGGAACTCAAAGGAGCAAAGAACAGTCTTTAAGGATATTTTAAAAGAAAAAATTTCAAGAGACGATTTTATTACGTTTATCTTTAATGTAACTTTATTTAACTTACTTGTATTATATTGTGGGTGTTTAACAAATACAATTATTATATAAAATTAAAAATA